GCGCGTAGGGGGGTGGGGGGGGGCTGCGACCCCAACCCAAACACGGTGGGGTCTGAGCGGGTTTGGGGTCTCAGCCCCCCAATACTGGGAGAGGGACACCCCCATCCCCTTCCTGAACCCCCTAGAGTTGGGGTTGGGGTCTCAGCCCCCCAATACCAGGGAAGGGGAGCCCCCATCCCCTTCCTGAGCCCCCCCGAGTTGGGGTTGGGGTCTCAGCCTCCCATTACCAGGGAAGGGGAGCCCCCATCCCACCCCCGCCCCATCCCGATCCCCCCGAGCGGGGCTCGCCTGCAGGGCGGGGCAGCCCCCGGGGGCTCTGGGGGGGCTGTAGAGCGCTGGGGGGGGGATGTCCCACGTGTCACCCACCGCGTCCCGGGGGTGTCCCCGCTGTCCCTCTGGGGCCGGGGGTGAGCAGGGGGTCCCCGAGTCCCCGCACAGCGCCCTGGGGACAGCGCTGGGGACACTCGGGGGGGGTCCCCGCTGCCGTCCCGGCTCTCGGAGCCCCCCCGGGCAGCGGGGCCGGTGTCACGTTCCCGGCCGGAGCGGTGGCGACAGCTGGCGTGTCCCTCTCCTGCCGTGACCCCGCCGCGGTGGCACCGGCGTGGCTCTAGGCAGGACCAGGGTGGCACCGGGCAGCACCGGGTGGCACCAGGGTGGCACCGGGGTGGCTTTAGGCAGGACCAGGATGGCACCGGGCAGCACCGGGTGGCACCAGGGTGGCACCGGGGTGGCTTTAGGCAGGACCAGGATGGCACCGAGGTGGCTCTGGGCAGCACCGGGTGGCACCAGGGTGGCACCCAGAGCTCCGGGGCGGCACTGGGGTGACACCGGGGACTCCAGGTTGGCTCCGGGTGGCACCGGGAGCTCTGGGGTGGCACCGGGGTGGCTCCAGGCAGGGCTGGGTGGCTCCAGGCAGCACCAGGGTGGCACCAGGAGCTCTGGGGTGGCACCAGGGTGGCACCAGGCAGGGCTGGGTGGCTCTGGGCAGCACCGGATGGCTCTGGGATGGCTCCAGGCAGCACCGGGGTAGCACCAGGGTGGCACCAGGAGCTCTGGGGTGGCACCAGGGTGGCTCCAGGCAGCCCTGCTGTGGCACCCAGTGGCTCCCAGTGCCCACAGCGATGGGCACCTCACCAATGAGGGATCAGAGGGGCTGGAATTTGGGCTGGGCTCGCTGTCAGGAGGGGACACGGGCTGGCTGAGCCCCCTCCCCGCTGCGCAGGGCTCGGCCGAGTCCTACACCAGCCGCCCCTCGGACTCGGATGTGTCGCTGGAGGAGGACCGGGAGGCGCTGCGCAGGGAGGCCGAGCGCCAGGCCATGGCTCAGCTGGAGAAAGCCAAGGTGGGACAGCCGGGGTGGAGCCCCCGTGCCCCCCAGCCCTGGCACTGGGACCCCCCTGACCCCCCCAGCCCTGGTACAGGGACCCCCTGACTCCCAGCCCTGGTACAGGGACACCCCAGTGCCCCCCAGCCCTGGTACAGGGATCCCCTGACCCCCCCAGCCCTGGCACAGGGACCCCCCATGCCCCCTGCCCCCTGTCCCGGCCCCCGGGGCACTGGGAAGAGCCCTGGCACAGGGACCCCCTGACCCCCCCAGCCCTGGCACAGGGACCCCCTGACTCCCAGCCCTGGTACAGGGATCCCCTGACCCCCCCAGCCCTGGCACAGGGACCCCCCATGCCCCCTGCCCCCTGTCCCGGCCCCCGGGGCACTGGGAAGGCAGCGGGGTTTACTGGGTGGAACTGGGAGCTGCACCTGCCTGGCTGGGATGGGGTGAGGGGGTAGAATCGCCACATTTTGGGATGGAGTCGCCGCATTTTGGGGTGGCAGAGGAGGGGATCTCCTAGTTTTGGGGTGGCAGAGGATGGGATTGCCCCATTTTGGGGTGGCAGAGGGTGGCATCTCCCACTTTGGGTGGAATCTCCCCATTTTGGGGTAGCAGAAGGTGAGATCTCCGCGTTTTGGGGTGGAATCTCCCCATTTTGGGGCAGAATCTCCCAACTTTGGGGTGGAATCTCCCCATTTTGGGGCAGAATCTCCCCACTTTGGGGTGGGATCTCCCCACTTTGGGGTGGCAGAAGGTGGAATCTCCCCATCTTCGTGTGGAATCACCTCATTTTGGGGCGGAATCTCCCCACTTTGAGGTAGAATCTCCCCGTTTTGGGGCGGAATCCCCCCGTTTTGGGGCGGCAGAGGGTGGCATCTCCCCTCGGCGGTGCCGGGGGCAGCTGCCCACCCCTGTCCCCCGCCAGACCAAGCCGGTGGCGTTCGCCGTTCGCACCAACGTGGGCTACAACCCCTCGGCCGCCGACGAGGTGCCCGTGCAGGGCATGGCCATCTGCTTCGAGCCCAAGGACTTCCTGCACATCAAGGAGGTGGGAGAGGCCCGGGGGGTGGATGGGGTGGGACTGGGGGGGTTTTAAGGTGTTTTTGCCCCCCCGCCCGGGGCAGAAGTGTTGTTGTGTTCGAGGGTCGCAGGGTGAGGGAAGAGATGAGAATCTTGAGGTCGTGTTGGAGAAGGCTGGTGTATGATATGGTGTTGTTTTATGTGGTTATAAAATAGAAATTATGTATATTGTTATATATATATATAATGTATAATGTATTGTATTATATATTATATTATATTAGTATATATTAATATACTATATTATTATTTATGATATTCTATTGTATTAAAAACGCTACACTAAAAAGAGTAGGGAGAAAGGATTCAACAGAAGGCTGGAAAGGAATGGAATGATAACCAAAGCTCGTGACTCTCAGAGAGTCCGACCCGGCTGGACCTTTGATTGCTCATTAATTAGAAACAACTCACATGGCCCTGTTGGTAAACAATGCCCACACCACACTCTACATCCACCAGATTATTCACTGTTTACGTTTCTTTTCCGAGGCTTCTCGGCTAGAATAGGAGACCAAAAAAAAAAAAAAAAAAAAATGCTAAATTTCATACAAACACCCCGGTGGTGGCACAGAAGTACAACAACGACTGGTGGATCGGGCGGCTGGTGAAGGAGGGCTGCGAGGTGGGCTTCATCCCCAGCCCCGTCAAGCTGGAGAACATGCGGCTGCTGCAGGAGCAGAAGATGCGGCAGAGCCGCCTGAGCTCCAGGTGAGGCTCACCCCGACCCCCCCCCCGTTCTCCCGGAGCCCCCCATCCCTCCCTCATCGCTCTCTCTGCGCTTCTCCCACGCAGCAAATCGGGTGACAACTCCGGCTCCAGCCTGGATGTGGTGACAGGGACGCGGCGGCCCACGCCCCCCGCCAGCGGTAAGGGCGTCCCGGCTCCCCCCCAGCCTGGGGGTCCCTCCCCGGCTCCCCACGGGTGTCCCCTTTGTCCCCTCCGCCCCGGGTGCAGGCAGGGTGCCCCCGTTCCCCCCGGGACTCTGCTTCTCCTCTTCCACCCTGCCCATCTCCATTTTTGCTTTCTTCCATCGCCATTCTCGCTCTTCTTCTCTCCCTGCCCTCGGCGGCTCGGCGGTCCCCAGGTGGCCTGGACATGCCTAGCTTTGCCTTTGACCCCGATGAGTTAGAGGAGGAGGAGGAGGCCGTGGAGGCGCAGCGCTCCCCTAAGAGTAGCGTGAGCAGCGTCACCACCCCCCCCGCCCACAGCAAGCGCATCCCCTTCTTTAGGAAGGTAACGGCCCCCCCCCAGCCCCGCCTGCTGCACCCCCTGCCTGCCCTAACACTGCCGGGGGGCTGGGGGCACCCAGGGGGGCGCCCCACGGGGCTGGGGGCACCTGGGGCCAGGCGCTGCCCCGGTGCCACAGCACGGGATGAGCCCTGCTCAGGGCACGGTGCGGGGCTGAGTCCTCCTGCTGTCAATGGGATGGATCAGTCTATGGCTGACCCCCCCTGCTGTCAATGGGATGGATCAGTCCATGGCTGACCCCCCCCTGCTGTCACTGGGATGGATCAGTCCATGGCTGACACCCCCCCATGGACCATGGAATGGACTAGCCCGTGGTTGTGTTCCCCCCCATGGACTGTGGGATGGATCAGTCCATGGCTGTGATCCCCCCATGAGATGGATCAGTCCGTGCTGTGGTCCCCCTGTGATCTGTGGGATGGATCAGTCCAATCCATCCATGGTGACATTCCCCCATGATCCACGGGATGGATCAGTCCACGGTTGTGATCCCCCCCATGGACTGTGGAATGGATCAGTCCATGCCTGACCCCCCTGTTGTCAATGGGATGGACCAGCCCGTGGCTGTGCTCCCCCCCATCCATGCAATGGACCAGCCCGTGCCCCCCCTCCCGGTTGGCTCCCCCCGCAGTGTGCGCATGGTGTGTTCCAGCACGGCCGGTGTCTCACCCCCCCCGCGGCTGAGAATGGACCGTTCCTCCCCCCACACTGGGCATTAGCTGGGGGGGGGTTTGGTCGCTACCACCACGCGGGACGGGGGGGTCTGCAGGGGGTCCCGGCTGCCCCCCCGTGCCCCGCAGAGCCCCCCTGGCACCCAGAGCTACCCTGGGCTGGGCAGTGCTGGTGTGTCACTGTCACCAGGGCCCCCCAGGCACACACGTGTCACCTGAGCACCCCTTGGGGCACACGCATGGCTCTGGAGTCACACACCTGGGTCACCCATGTGTCACATTCCAGGTCACACACGTGTCTTTGGGGTGCCCAGGAGGGTCACACGTGACCCTGGGTCATCCTTGAGGGGTCACACCTGGGTCTCTGGGTCACACATGTGTCGCTAGGTCACCCTGCAGGTCACACACATGTCACTAGGTCACCCTCCAGGTCACACACATGTCCCTGGGTCACCCCTGGAGGGTCACACCCGGGTCCCTGGGTCACACACGTGTCACTAGGTCACCCTCCAGGTCACACCTGAAGTGTCACACATGTCACTGGGTCACCCTGCAGGTCACACCTGGGTCTCTGGGTCACACATGTGTCGCTAGGTCACCCTGCAGGTCACACAGGTGTCCCCGGCTCACACCTGGGATGTCACACATGTGTCACTGGGTCACCCTACAGGTCACACCCGGGTCTCTGGGTCACACACGTGTCACTGGGTCACCCCAGGGGGGTCACACAGGTATCCCTGGGTCACAGCCGTGTCCCTGGCTCACCCTTGGGGGTGTCATGCCCATGTCCCTGGGTCACAAGTGTGTCACTAGGTCACCCTGCAGGTCACACATGTGTCACTGGGTCACCCTTGGGAGGTCATACATCTGTCCCTGGGTCACACATGTGTCACTGGGTCACCCTTGGGAGGTCATACATCTGTCCCTGGGTCACACATGTGTCACTGGGTCACCCCCAGGGATATCACGCCCGTGTCCCTGGCTCACACACGTGTCCCTGGCTCACCCCTGGAGGGTCACACCCGGATCCCTGGCTCACACATGTGTCCCTGGGTCACTCCTTGGTGTCACGTCCATCCCCTGAGCCACATCCGTGTCCCTGGCTCACTCCCAGGTGTCACCCCCGTGTCCCAGCCGGTGTCCCCGTGTCCCCGCCGGTGTCCCCGCGGTAACACGCATGCTTTGCCTTTGCCTTTGCCTTTGCCTTTGCCTTGTTTGTGTCTCTGCCCCGGCCCCGGGATGCAGCCAAGCAGAAGCAGAAATCGGTGAGTAGCGCCAGGACCCCGGGACTGGGGGGGAGAGGGAGGACCCCCCCGGCTTGCAGCCCCCCCAAAACACCCCGGAGCCACCCCCGGGGGTGCCCCGTGTCCCCTCAGGGCCCGGTGACACCCGGCTGTGTCCCCAGACCGAGCACGTGCCCCCGTACGACGTGGTGCCCTCCATGCGCCCCATCATCCTCGTGGGGCCCTCCCTGAAGGGCTACGAGGTGAGCAGGGGGTGGGCAGCGCTCGGGGGGGTGCGGGGGGACCCCAGCCCCGCACTGTCCCCGTGTCCCCGTGTCCCCGTGACCCCGTGTCCCTGCCCAGGTGACGGACATGATGCAGAAGGCGCTGTTCGACTTCCTGAAGCATCGCTTCGATGGCCGGTGAGGGGGGCACGGCCGGGGACCCCCGAGCTCCTGAGGGGACCCCTGAACCCACAGAGGGACCCCTGAACCCCTGAGGGGACCCCTGAACCCACAGAGGGACCCCCGAACCCCTGAGGGGACCCCTGAACCCACAGAGGGACCCCCGAGCTCCTGAAGGGACCCCTAAACCCATAGAGGGACCCCCAAGCTCCTGAGGGGATCCCCGAACTCCTGAGAGAGGGACCCCTAAATCCATAGAGGGACCCCTGAACCCCTGAAGGGACCCCCGAACCCCTGAGAGGACCCCCGAACTCCTGAGGGGACCCCTGAACCTACAGAGGGACCCCTAAACCCATAAAGGGACCCCCAAAACTCTGAGGGGACCCTGAAGCCATAGAGGGACCCCTAAATCCATGTGGGGGCACCTAAACACATAAAGGGACCCCCGAACCCCTGAGGGGACCCCTGAACCTATAGAGGGACCCCCAAACCCCTGAGGGACCCCTAAATCCACAGAGGAACCCCTGAACCTGTGAGGGGGCACCTCACGCAGGTGACACCGGTATCCCGGGGTGCCTGTGGGGTGACACTGGTGTCCCAGGGATGGCTGTGGGTGACACCGGGGTGCCTGTGGGTGACATTGGTGTCCCAGGGGTGGCCGTGGGTGACACGGTGTCCCGGGGGTGGCTGTGGGTGACATTGGTGTCCCGGGGGTGCCTGTGGGTGACTTTGGTTCTCCTCCCCTCCGCGCTGCTCCTTCCTCCCCTGCTCCTGGCACAGATGTCTTGGGTACGTACAGGGACCCGGCCTGTCCTCCCCGGGTGGCCTCGGGGACACGCCCTGGGGCTTGGGGACACCGTGGTGGCACCTGTGTGACCGCCCCCCCCCCCCCGTGTGTGTGTGTGTGGTTTGGGGTGGGGGGCTGTGCTGGTGTCACCTCCCTGGTGACAGCGAGGTGGCCGAGCCTCAGGACAAGCCCTGTCCTGCTGCTGTCCCCAAATTGTGACACCTGGGAGGTGGCCTTAGAAAAAAAAATAAAATAGATGCTGCAGAGAAATATGAATATATATCTGCATTGAATATATCTATACATCAATATCTATCTATTATATATATCTACATTGAATATATAAATATTTATATATACATTATATTTATATATATATATTTATATTATATATTTATATATATAATATATATATATTCACTCCCCCTGCCCCTCACTCCCCTGTCCCCATCCCTCACTCCCCTGTCCCGTGTCCCCTGTCTCTCACTCCCCTGTCCCTTACTCCCCTGTCCCCTGTCCCGTGTCCCCTGTCCCTCACTCCCCTGTCCTCTGTCCCCTGTCCCCAGCCGAGGTGCAGAGTGAGACCGAGCGGATTTTCGAGCTGGCCCGCACGCTGCAGTTGGTGGCCCTGGACGCCGACACCATCAACCACCCGGCCCAGCTGGCCAAGACCTCGCTGGCCCCCATCATCGTCTACATCAAAATCACCTCCCCCAAGGTGGGTGAGGACCCTGTGGCAGTGCCAGCCCCTCCCTGCCACGCTGGGGACAGCGGGCAGGCTCGGGCCATGTCCCCACGGCCACCCCAGCTGTCCCCTCCTGCCACGCTGGGGACAGCGGGCAGGCTCGGGCCATGTCCCCAAGGCCACCCCAGCTGTCCCCTCCTGCCCAGGTGCTGCAGCGGCTGGTGAAGTCCAGGGGGAAGTCCCAGGCCAAGCACCTCAACGTGCAGATGGTGGCCTCGGACAAGCTGGCACAGTGCCCACCTGTGAGTGTGCCCTGGTCATTGTGGTCCCACCCAGACTGACCCCACCCTGAGCTGCCATGCCCACCCCCTGCCCCATATCTGCCCACCCTGTCCCATTGTCCCCACCCTGTCCCAAAGGCAGGGTGTCATAGCCCTGTCCCATAGGCTATGCCCCATATCGAGGTACCCCCCTCTGTCCCATTGTCCCCTCCCTGTCCCATTGTCCCCACCCTGTCCCATAAGGCCCCTCCCTGTCCCATTGTCCCCTCTCTGTCCCATAGGCTCTGTCCCATTGTCCCTTCCCTGTCCCATTGTCCCCACCCTGTGCCATAAGGCTCCACCCTGTACCATTGGTTCTGTCTCAAGCCCCATTGTCCCTGCCCTGTCCTGTAGGTTTTCCCCCATATCCAGCTGCCTCTCCCTGTCCCACTGTCCCCTCCCTGTCCCATTGTCCCTACCCTGTCCCATTGTCCCTACCCTCTCCCATAAGGCCCCTCCCTGTCCCATTGTCCCCTCTCTGTCCCATAGGCTCTGTCCCATTGTCCCCACCCTGTCCCATAGGCTCTGCCCCACATCCAGCTGCTCCTCCCTGCCCCATTGTCCCCACCCTGTCCCATAAGGCTCCACCCTGCCCCATAGCTTCTGCCTCAAGTCCCATTGTCCCTGCCCTATCCCATAGGCTCTGTCCCATTGTCCCTGCCCTGTGCCATAAAGCTCCACCCTGTCCCATGGGTTCTGTCTCAAGCCCCATTGTCCCTGCCCTGTCCCATAGGCTCTCTCCCATTGTCCCTGCCCTGTCCCATAGGCTCTCTCCCATTGTCCCTGCCCTGTCCCATAGGTTTTCCCCCCTATCCAGCTGCCCCTCCCTATCCCACTGTCCCCTCCCTGGCACTGTCCCCTCCCTGCCCCACTGTCCCTGCCCTGCCCCACCTCTCTCCCACCCCTTCCCCAGGAGATGTTCGACATCGTGCTGGACGAGAACCAGCTGGAGGAGGCCTGCGAGCACCTGGCCGAGTACCTGGAGGCTTACTGGAAAGCCACGCACCCGCCCAGCAGCAACCCCCCGAACCCGCTGCTGAACCGCACCATGGCCACGGCCGCGCTGGCCGCCAGCCCCGCGCCCGTCTCCAACCTCCAGGTACAGGTGCTCACCTCCCTGCGCAGGAACCTCAACCTCTGGGGCCGAGAGGCCACCCCCAGCCCCCCCGGAGCCCTGGAGGAGCACGCGCTGTGAGGTGGCGGCGGGGACGTTGGGGACATCGAGGATGTCGGGGCATCGGGACGACTCCTAGGCCTTGGGAGATGGCTGGGATCGGGGACAGCCCGGGGAGTCACAGCCCCCCACAGGTGTGGGGTTGGCCGTGGGTCACCTGGGATCAGGGTGACTCCATGGGAATGTGGCCCCTCAGGTGTGGGGTTGTCCCTAGGGTCACCTGTCCTGGGATCAGGGTGACTCCAGGGGAATGTGGCCTCTTTCAGTTGTCCCTGGAGTCACCTGTCCTGGGATCAGGGTGACTCCAGGGGAATGTGGCCCCCCACAGGTATGGGGCTGTCCCTGAGGTCACCTGTCCTGGGATCAGGGCCACTCCACAGGACTGTGGCCCTCCCCAGGTGTGGGATTGTCCCAGTGTCACCTTCTCTGGAATGAGGGTGACTCCACAGGACTGTGCCCTCTTTCAGTTGTCCCTGAGGTCACCTTCCCTGGGATCAGGCTCTCCACCCTGGGACTGGGGCCACCCCTGGGGTTAGGGTCACCCCAGGGGACCGTGATCCCAAGGTCACCCACCCTGGGGACCCTGGGATCAGGGCAGCCCATGGGATTGGGGTCACCATGGGGAACCAGAGCCCCCCAGGAGTGGCACCAGCCCTGGGACTGTTCCTTTGGGAGCCTGTGTCCCCCCGGGGTACTGCAGGCCCCAGCTGTGGGACTGCTCCTGGGATTGGGATCACCCCAGGGAGCTGCTCCCATTCCTGGATTGGGGCCATCCTGGGGAGCTCTCCCTGCCTGGGACTGCTGCCAACCCCACATTTGGGGTCTCCTGGGAATCTGTGCCTCCTCCTGGAGCTGCCCAGGGGATTGGGAACCCCCAGGATCTGCCCCTTTCAAGACCCACCCTGTGCCTTCCTGGAGCTGCCGGGCTGCCAGACCCCATTCCCACCTTTCTGGGGGAGCCGTGGTGGGGACAAGACTTTGGGGGTGTCCTGGGTGGGGGGCACAGCCCCATCCCTCCGTGCTGAGTCTGGGATCCTGCAGCCACCCCCCGGGGCTGGGAACAGAGAGGGGACAGTGTCCTGTGTCGTGTGTGGCTCAATCTCCCAGCGGGACTCTGCTGGTGCTCCATCCCCCTCCCCTGTGCTGCTCCCCCTCCCCATTCCCAGCCCTGCTGCCATCGTGTCACCCACCAGCGGCTGGCCAGCAGCATGTGTCCCCCCACTAACCCCCCACTAACCCCCCCGGGTGACCCCAGCCCGTCCATCCCCGCATGGTGTGGTTGCTTCTCCCCAGGCTCCGTACCCGGAGGGGGAGCACGGCCGCCTCCGGCAGGGCCCGGGGGACTCGGGGGGCCGCGGGCAGGGCAGGGTCCCCCCGCCGCCCTCCCGCCCGGCTCCCCGCAGCCTGGCCCGCCAGGACACCTTCGACACGGAGGCTCCGGCCAGCCGGGACTCGGAGCCCGGCGATTCCTGCTGCATGGACATCGAGATGGATCCCGTCGAGGAGGAGCCGCCGGGCACCCCCGGGGCCGGACCGCAGCCCCCCCCCGGCTCCTGGGACGGGACCGAGCCGGGCCGGGGGCTGCGGGGGCGAGCCAAGGGCCAGGAGCCCCTGGGCCAGAGCGACGGGGAGGGCTGGGGCCGGGACGTTTACATGCGTTAGGATGAGGGGGTGCGGGCGGGGGGCTCCCCCCCCTCCCCAGCGCTGATTTTGGGGTGCGGGACAGCCCCGCTGGTTGCCTTCGTGCCCCCCCGAGCCCGGCCAGCAGTGCCCCGGGGAGCCCCCGCTGTGCGCTGGGGGCTCCCCCTGCCCCGCTCGTTGCTGAGGGGGGGTCTCCCCCTGCCGCGGCCCCCCAGCATCGCCGGCAGGGACAGCAAGTGACCAAAAGGGGACCCGACGTGTCCCCGTGCCCCAGGGGAGGGGTGGGGGCCGTGCCCCCCCTCCCCAGCCCTGCCTGCTGGGTGCCCCCTGCTTCTCCATGGTGCTGTCGCCTGTGGGGGTCCCCAGAGCTGGCCGTGGCGGTGGGGGGGTCCCTGCCAGCTGCCCCCCAGCCCGGCAGTGCCTGGCACTGCCCCCACAGCCCCCGGCCCTGCCAGGGGGTGCATGCGTGTGTGTGCAGGGCTCTGGGGGTCCCCGCTGCCCCCCAGGCTGTGCCCCCCGAGGTGCTGCCTGCCCGAGGGGGGGGGAGGGCGCGGTCTGCATGTGTTTGCCTTGTGGGGAGGGGGGCTCTGCCTGAATCGGGGGGTGGGGGGTGATTCTGAGCCAGTTTTGGGGGTCTAACCTGTGCTAACAGCTGCCCAGCCCTGGCCTGCCGGGGGGGTCCCACTGTCCTGGCACTGCCAGGCCCCGGCCCCCCTTCCCCAGCCCCCCCTCCCTTCCCCTTCCAACCCCCCCGCCGTGCCTGTCCAGCCGTGTCCGTCTGTCCGTCTGTCCGTGAGCCTCTGTCCGTCCCCCCGCCGCGCCCCGGGGCACTGCCTTGTCCTGTGCCCGCCCCGGGGCGTCCCCTGTGCCCCCCAGCTCTGCGGTGTAACCACACCAGGGTGGCCTGGGGACACCCCACGTCCGGTCCTCACCGCGGGACGGGGCTTGTCCCCCTTCTGGTGCAGCCCCTTGCCCCCCACCCCCATTCCTGGGGGTCCCCGGGGTCACTGCCTTACCCAGACCACCAGCCCGGGTCGGGGGGCTTGGGGGCACCCAGCTCTGCCGCTGCCAAGCCGCCACCCACGTGTGCCTCAGTTTCCCCCTTTTTATTTCGGGGGGGGACTCGGTGTCACTGCCTGCCAAGTGCTTTGAGCCCCCCCTGCCCCAGCGCTCGCCCCCGTGGCGGCCAAAATCCGGGCAGTGGGGCCCCCCCGGCCCCCCCCGCGGGGCAGAGGGACGTCCCGTATTTATGTCACCCCACAAACTTTTAATTTAAAGACCCGACAGAAATGTATTTTATTTATTTATTCTCGTTGACGTGTGTGTGTGTGTGTGTGTGTTGGGGAGGGGGGGGCACTCGCCCCGCTCGCTTGGTTCTTTGTAATAAACATTTCGGTGAGACCTGCCCCCCCGCCTGAGCCTGCTGGGGGCTGGGGGGACGCGGGGGGACACCGGGGGGCTGCGCTCACCGCGGCTGGACCGGGCACAGCTGAGCTCAGCTCCCGCTCGGGGCTGAGGATGGAGCTGGGACCTGCCCGGCTCCGGGGAAGGGGCGAGGATCAAACGCCGGGGTCGGGGGGCTCCAGCCCCCCCCCTCGGGGGTGGCCAGCGCCAGCAGCCGGGCTCAGCGCGGCGCTGGGCCGGGTTTATCGGCGCTGGGCCGGGTCTGGACGCGATATTTACAGGTAATAAATACACCGGAGAGCGCTCAGGGCTGCCGGCACCGCCACTCGCTCTTCTCCGGCCGGTACTCGAACGCCTTCCTGCGGACAGCACACGGCGACATCGGTGACACTCAGCCCTGTCCCCCCGCATCCCCCAGCCCGGGGTCCCCACTCGGGGACCCTCAGCCCTGTCCCCCCGCATTCCCCCACTCGGGTGTCCCCTAGTCGGTGACACTCAGCCCTGTCCCCCCGCATCCCCCAGCCCGGGGTCCCCACTCGGGGACCCTCAGCCCTGTCCCCCCGCATTCCCCCACTCGGGTGTCCCCTAGTCGGTGACACTCAGCCCTGTCCCCCCGCATCCCCCAGCCAGGTGTCCCCACTCGGTGACACTCAGCCTTGTCCCCCTGCATTCCCCCACCCGGGTGTCCCCAATCGATGACACTCAGCCGTGTCCCCCCGCATCCCCCTGTCCAGGTGTCCCCCAGTTGATGACACTCAGCCCTGTCCCCCCGCATTCCCCCACTCGGGTGTCCCCTAGTCGGTGACACTCAGCCCTGTCCCCCCACCCAGGGCTGCACCCCGTGCCCCCCACGCCCCCCGCCCACCCCGTACTCACTCTCTGGCGGGCACCGAGGGTCGGCACACCAGCCCGGCCTGGCAGGGGCACACCTGGTTGATGCTGAAGGCGAGTCCCCCGGGGGGGACGTGGCAGCTCTGGGCCAGCGCCAGGCGCGGTTGGCAAACTCGCTCCCCGTGCTGGCGAGCGCAGCAGCCGCCGGCCCCGCACTCCTCGTCCCGCTGGCACCGCGCTCCTGGTGGCACAAAAAGCGACCTCAGGGCACGGGGACCCCCCACTCTGACCCCCAGCACCCCCTGGTTTAGCACCTCTGCGGCATCGCATCCCCCCCGTGCTCGCAGAGCTCGTCCCTGCTGTGCCCCCCGTGGCAGCCCCCCACTCACCTTCCTGCCCGGGGGGCACGGGCTGCTGGCACTTGCCGAACATGCAGACGAGGCCGGGGGCGCAGTGAGGGTCGTGGCGGCAGTAGTGGCCCTCGGGCCGAGTGGGCAGGCACAGCCCGAAGTGCTCGTCACAGAAGTGCCCGTGGGCGCAGGGGGTGGCGGGGCTGCACGGGGTCACCTGCGGAGGAGGTGACACGGCACGTCAGGGGGGGCACACCTCATCCCCCACCCCATTCCATCCCTGACCCCGAGACTGGCTAGGAACGGCGCAAAACCCCATCTGTTCACACTTTTACTGTGGGGGTGCTGCGGTGATTTTGGGGGGCCGAGCGTGGCAGCAGTGCTCTGCCAGCCTGGGATCCAGGAGGATTTTTTTTTTTTTACTCGTGAAAAGAAAACCCGGCTGCAGGACGGGGGCAACACGAGGGGGGTGCGGCGTGAACCCCTCCAAAAGTCCTGCTCCAGGTGAGGCTCGAACTCACAACCTCGGCATCGCTCGTGTACCGCCCTATAAGTACCGCGCGCTGACCGATTGCGCCACTGGAGCGCCCGGCGCCGCCCGCCGCCACCGCGCCCCCTGCCGGCCCCGCCGCCGCACCCCCCCGTGCCCCCCGGAGGGACACGGACCCCCCGGAAGGACAGGGACACTCCCCCGTGCCCCCCGGAGGGACACGGACCCCCCGGAAGGACAGGGACACTCCCCCGTGCCCCCCGGAGGGACACGGACCCCCCGGAAGGACAGGGACACTCCCCCGTGCCCCCCGGAGGGACACGGACCCCCCGGAAGGACAGGGACACTCCCCCGTGCCCCCCGGAGGGACACGGACCCCCCGGAAGGACAGGGACACTCCCCCGTGCCCCCCGGAGGGACACGGACCTCCAGGAAGGACAGGGACACTCCCCTGTGCCCCCCGGATGGACACGGACCCCCCCGGATGGAAACGGACACCCCCGGATGGACACAGAACCCCCTGTGGCCCCCGGATGGACATGGACCCCCCCCGTGTCCACCGGCCCCCGTGTCCCCTGTCCCCGGCAGAACACTGTGGGGTCACCGCGGGTGACACTGCAAACCCGTGCCCTGCTGCGACTTCTGCACCTGCCCCTGCGCCCCCTCTGTGCCCCCCCTTGCTGCAAATCCTGAGCCCGCCCTGGCTGCAAACGCAGCTCTGTGCCCACCCTTGATTCCACCCTGAGCCCACCCTGGCAGTAAATTCTGCCCTCACCCACCCCCGTGCCCACCCTGCTGCCACGCCGGCTGCAAATCCCGCTCTGTGCCCACCCTGAGCCTATCCTGCTGCAAATCCTGAGCCCCTCCTGGCTCCAAACCACCCTCGTACCCTTGAGCCCACCCTGGCTGCAAACCCAGCTCTGTGCACCCCCTGAGCCCACCGTGGCTGCAAACCCAGCTCTGTGCCCACCCTGAGCCCACCCTGGCTGCAAACCCAGCTCTGTGCACCCCCTGAGCCCACCCTGGCTGTAAATCCTGAGCCCACCCCGACTCCAAACCACCCTCGTACCCTTTCAGCCCACCCTGAGCCCACCCTGGCTGTAAGTTCTGCCCTCACCCACCCCGGCTGCACACCCCGCTCTGTGCCCACCCTGAGCCCACCCTGCTGTCCCCCCGGGGGTCGCTCCCCCTTCCTCACCTCCTCCAGGTGCGCCCCGGGGCTCCTGCCCAGGGCGGCGGCATCGGGCGAGTTTTGCGGCAGGGAGAACATCCATGCCCAGAGGTGCCCGGCGGCGGGTGGCAGCAGCCAGGCGACGAGGCAGAGGATGGCCGGGGATGTCACCATGGTGCTGGCGGTGGCGGTGGCAGCCCGGCGGGGCCCGCGGGGTTTATGTAGCCGGGGGATATCGGAGCCCCCGCTGCTAAAACTGTTTGCCCACCTAATGGGGTGGGAGGAGGCAATCAGGGGTTAAGGGATTTCCATAATTGCCAGCCTTCCCCTCGGGGGGGGCAGCAGCCCCTCAGCAAACAGCCCCCCCCGGGGCAGTCTGGCTCCGGCGCCAGCGCTGGGAACAGCCTGGGGTGTCCTGTGTGCCCCCACGGCTCCGAATGATGATTTGGGGGGCAGTTTGGGGTGTCCTGTGTGTCCCCACAGCTCGGAATGATGATTTGGGGGGCAGTTTGGGGTGTCCTGTGTGTCCCCACGGCTCCGAATGATGATTTTGGGGACAGCCTGGGGTGTCCTGTGTGTCCCCACAGCTCGGAATGATGATTTGGGGGGCAGTTTGGGGTGTCCTGTGTGCCCCCACAGCTCAGAATGATGATTTCGGGTGTAATTTGGGGTGTCCTGTGTGTCCCCACAGCTCGGGGTGGTGATTTGGGGGGCAGTTTGGGGTGTCCTGTGTGTCCCCACGGCTCGGAATGATGATTTGGGGGGCAGTTTGGGGGGTCCTGTGTGTCCCCACGGCTCCGAATGATGATTTTGGGGACAGCCTGGGGTGTCCTGTGTGTCCCCACAGCTCGGAATGATGATTTGGGGGGCAGTTTGGGGTGTCCTGTGTGCCCCCACAGCTCGGAATGATGATTTGGGGGGCAGTTTGGGGTGTCCTGTGTGTCCCCACGGCTCCGAATGATGATTTTGGGGACAGCCTGGGGGGGTCCTGTGTGCCCCCACAGCTCAGAATGATGATTTTTGGGGGGCAGTTTGGGGTGTCCTGTGTGTCCCCATGGCTCGGAATGATGATTTTGGGTACAGCCTGGGGTGTCCTGTGTGTCCCCACGGCTCTGAGTGATGATTTTGAGCACATTTTGGGGTGTCCTGTGTGCCCCCATAGTTTGGAATGATGATTTTAGGCGCAGTTTGGAGTTCCCTGTGTCCCCCCATGACTCAGGGGGATGGTGGGTACAGTTTGGGGTTCCCTGTGTCCCCCCATAACTCAGGGGGTGCAGTTTGGGGTGTCCCGTGTTCCCCCACAGCTCAGAGTGATTTGGGGTACAGTTTAGGGTTCCCTGTGTCCCCCCACAGCTCAGGGTGGTGATTTCGATGCAGTTTGGGGTTCTCTGTGTCCCCCCACATCTCACCAGGGGGGTAGATACGGTTTGGGGTGTCCCGTGTCTCCCCCACAGCTCAGAATGATTTTGGGGTGCCCCCCAATCTCAGGAGGGGGGTGGATGCAGTCTGGGGTGCTTTTTGTCCCCTCCACCCCCTCAGGTCCCCCACCCCATGTCCTGGGGACCTCGGGGGGCTACACTTTGGGGTACCTTGCGCCCCCCATCCCCACAATTCCCATTTTTTTCCCCTTTCCCGGAGCGGGCACAGCGGGAACGAGGAGAACCCAGAGGGAAAAGCCGGGGGGTGGGGAGGTGCGGGGGGCAAAGCCTGCGACCCCCAGAGGGGGCAGCGGGGGGCACAGGGCTGGCATCAGCCCGGTGTTTGTGCGTCCCCCGTGTCCCCCCGCCACGCCGGGGTGACGGGATCGGCACCTTCCCTAACGCCGCCGCGAATGGGCTGCGAGCCCGGCCCTTATCGCCCGGCCCTTATCGCGGCCCCCCTGCCCACCCCCCCAGCCGAGCCCCCCGGACGGTGTCACCTCCGTGTCCCCAAAGGCGCGGGGGGCTCAGGCCCCGTGCTCCCCCAGAGCCCTGCAATACACGTCGGGTCCCTCCGGGGGCAGTTTGGGGTGTCCTGTGTGCCCCCCCATAGCTGGGAATGATGATTGGGTGTCCTGTGTGACCCCCATAGCTCGGAATGATGATTTTGGGGTGTCCTGTGTGCCCCCCCCCATAGCTCGGAATGATGATTTTGGGGTGTCCTGTGTGCCCCCCCATAGCTCGGAATGATGATTTTGGGGTGTTCTGTGTGCCCCCCCCCCATAGCTCGGAATGATGATTTTGGGGTGTCCTGTGTGCCCCCACACAGCTCCAAATGCTGATTTTGGGGTGTCCTGTGTACCCCCCCAGCTCAGAATGCTGATTTTGGGGTGTCCTGTGTGCCCCCACACCTCAAGGTGACAATCTGGAGACCCCCCTCCCCTAAGTTTCCCCCCCTGCCACCCTCCCCGGCCCTTTCCCGCTGCCTCCGTGCCTCAGTTTCCCCAGCTGTGACGCAGCAGGGGTGACACAGGCACAGTGGGGTGACCCCAAACTTTTCTCCCGCTGCTCCGGGACTGGCGATCCGCCAGGATCCGACCCCCCCCCCGAGCCCCCCGTGTTTGCCCCGCGGCTTTGGCAGCAAATATTGACCCCGCTCCGGGGCCCCGTCCCTGTCCCCATCCGTCCCCCGCTGCGCCGCGACATCTCCGGATAATCCCCCCCAGCGCCACGGGGGTCCCGGACGGCGGCTCTGCCCCCCCCCCCCCCCAAAACCGCCCGTCTGGCAGTTTGGGGGGGTCCTACGCACCCCCAAAGCTGCGAGTCTTGGTTCGGGGGTGCCCGTGGGTGTGTGTTTCTGTGGGTGGGGGTGTCCCTGGCAGTGCCCCCCCCTCACTAACAGTTCTATTGCCGGCGGCGGGCCGTTGTTGGCAGCGGGGGTATAGCTCAGTGGTAGAGCATTTGACTGCAGATCAAGAGGTCCCCGGTTCAAATCCGGGTGCCCCCTTGTTTTTCTCACATTTTCGGGGGGTCCCCACCCTGTTTTTCTCACTCTTTTTATTCGCTCCCCAACACCCCCGCAGCGAGGGGAGGCAGCGTTCTGTCCTTCAGGCTCCCCCATTCCGGGGTGGCCGCTCTGGGTTCCCCGCTTTGCTTTGGAGTGGGACAGACCCAGCTCTAGGGGATCCCCAAAAATGTCGCGTTCCCTCATTTGCCTCCTCGGCTGGGAGCAGCCGCAGGACCCCCACATTGTCCCCGCGCCCCCCGGCTTTTCTCGGCATGAATGGGGGGGTCAGCATCGCTCTCCGGGCCCTGATGGGGCACATTTCTGGGGGGGGGGTCTGACCCCCCTCCTCCCGCCCTGGCACCCAGGGCTGAGCCCCCTCCCACCCTGGCACCAGGGGGCTGGGGTCGGTCCGGAGCCCCCCAAAACGCTGCCCAAATTATGGGGTGGCCAGCAGTGGGTTTGGCTGAATGCAGGAGCTGCAGGGTCGGGCTGCTCTGGGGGCTCTGCGGTGCCAGCGGGACCCCCGCCCTGTGCCCCCCACTCTGTGCCCCCCAAGACCCCAATTCCCGCTGTTCCTTCTCCAAAGGGGGGATCGGGGAGGGCCCAAACCCTCCGGCAGCTGAGACACGTCCCCGGCGGGTCTGTGGATGGGGAACCCGGCTGGGAGAGGGGTGGGGGTGAAGTGTCCCCCAAAATGAGTGCGGAGACCCTGTGGCTTGGGGGGGGCGGTGGGCTCAGCCCAGGGCTCGCAGTGGGGACAGCCCGGGGGACCCCAAACCTCGCTGCTGTCTCAAGTCGGACCCCAAAAACTCGGGCTGGGGGGGAAGGGGTGAGCACCCGGAGATGTCGCTCCGGGTGGGGGGCACCGGCCCAGCCCGGGATGGACGAACATTCCCGAAGCCCCTGGGCGCAGGGGGGTCCTGCTGCCGGCTCCGGCTCCATCCCTTCCTTTCCTGTCCCTTCCCATCCCATCCCAGCCCTTCCCAATTCCATCCCCACCCCCGGCCCCGCCCCAGGCCCCGCCCGGCTCCGGCTCCGGCTCCGCTCGGTGCGCGGCTCCCGGGGGTCCCGGCCCATGGCGGGGCGCTGAGCCCCCCGACCCCCACCATGCTCTGGGGGTCCCTCCTCCTGCTCTGCCTGCTCCGCGGGGCGCTGGGCGCAGGTAGGGGGGAGCAAAGGGGGGCTGGGGGGGGAATGGGGGTGCAGGGGGATCCCGGCCGTGCCCTGGGGGTCTGCCTGGGGGTCCCGGAGGTCGGTGTGCCCCCTCCCTGCTGTGCTTTGGGGGTGTCTCCGTGCCCCCCGAGCCCGCAGGTGCGTGTCCCGCTGCACCCCGCTGGTTGGGGTCCCCTCCCCGTGTTCCCCCCTTCCCCCGCATCTCCGCAGCCAAGGGGGGGGGGTGCCCGGACCCCCCATCTGTGCTGGGCAGCGCTGGGACAGAGTGGGGGGCTGTGTCTCCGCTGCTGGGGGTCCCCACGCAGGATTCCCCCCCCCCCCCCCCCCCCCACCGTGGCACGGCTGGTGCTGTCCTGGCTGGGGGGGAGATTTTGGGGAGCCTTTGGGGGTCTCTGCTGTCTGGGACACCCCACAGCTGCCCGCACTGTCCCCCCTGTGCCCCCCAGGGATGGCACAGAGCCCCTCTCCGTCCCTACGTCCAAGCTCAGCCCTGCTCCCCCCCTGCCTCAGTTTCCCCTCCCGGAGACCTGGCGGCAGAACCCAGCCCCGGGATAGCCCCGGCAGCTCGTTAGGCAGCAATTAGCAATTAACTCCCACGGGGTGACGGTGGGACCCCGCTCCCACGGGCGGGGGGAGCTGTGCCGTGTCCCCGCTTGGGGACAGACGAGCGCGTGCCGTCCCCACCGCCCCCGCCCGCGCCGCGCTGCCAGAAACCTCCTGATTCTCGGCAGATTTGGTCCCAAACGCCTTTTTTATCCTCCCCCCCCACTCCCCAGCCGTGTTTTCGGCCTCCGCGGGGCTGGGGAGATGCGTGGACGGGGTGAGGGAGACGATTATTGGATCCTTGGGACCCGCGGACCCCATCCCAGCCCGGGCTGCTTGGGGACATCGAGGACGCGGCCACACTGGTGCCACACTGGTGCCACACTGGTGCCACACTGGTGTCACACTGGTGTCGCTTTCCCCTCGCCGGGGTCGCGCCGGTGCGTGCGGGAGCTGCCGCTGCCATTTGTGGGTGTTGTCCCCAGCTGTCCTCCCCTGGCCGCTGTCGCTGTCACCTGTCCCTACACCTGCGGCCACCCCCGCCCCTTCCCCGCCTCGCCATCCCTGCAGTGACGCTGTCCATCGAGGCTCAACCCCCCTCAAACTCGTGTCACAGGGGGACACCACTGACCCCAGGGGTGTCACTGACCCCTCCCTCCCTCCCTGTGTGTCCCCAGGACGCCCCCCCGGCAGCGAGGGACGGGGGGCTCGGGACGCGCCCGAGGGGACCCGCATCAGCCAGGACCTGGCGGGCGGCAGCCTGGCCATCGACACCCTGCCGGCCAACGAGACCCGCATCGTGGTGAGTCCCCCGGCGTCCCGACCCCCGCCCGGATCCCTGCCCTGACCCCTGACCCCCGCCCGGTTCTGTGCCCCGACCCCCGATCCCCACCCAGATCCCGGATCTGTGCCCCGACCCCTGCCCGGATCTGTGCCTTGATCCCCGACCCCTGCCCGGATCTGTGCCTTGATCCCCGACCCCTGCCCTGATCTGTGCCCCGACCCCCGATCCCCACCCAGATCCCGGATCTGTGCCCCGACCCCCGCCTGGATCCCCACTCAGATCCGTGCCCCGACCCCCGCCCGGAGCCGCTCCGATCCCCTCCCTCCCCCCGAGCTGTTCCCAGTCTGGCTCCGGTTCCTCTGTGGGGCTGGATCCCACATCCCAGAGGGGATAATTACACCCCAGAGAGGATAATTACACCCCAGAGGATAATTACAGCCCCGGGATCGCTCCCAGCCCTGCCCGCTCCATCCCCGGGTGCTTCGCAGTGCGGGTGACACTTGGGGACAACGCCGCTGTCCCCCGGTGTCGCTGCTGAGGGGCGTCCTCTGTTCGCTGTCACCTTGTGGGACACCTCCCTCGGCTCTCCCAGCCTAATTACCCGCCCTCAATTAGCTCCGGGTTATTTGTGGCAGCGGCGGGAGTTCCCTGCGCTCTCAGTGGGGGATGTGAGGGGTTTTTGGAGGACGGTGACTTGTCCCGCTGCTTTTGGTGGCACTCAGGGGACAAAGTGGCTGCTTCCACTCTGCTCCAGCTCATCCTTCGGGGATGGAGAGGAACCATGAAAAGTTGCAGTGTGGAAGTGTTTAAAAATACCCCAAAGCAGCCCCAAAACCATCACTGACCTTGTGGAGATGCTGGGGAACCACAGGGAGGGTGTGGTGGTGCTTGTGGAGGGAAAGGCAGCAATTTCCTGGGAAATTTTTTGGGATCTGCCCCTGGATTGGGGCCACGGACAAGGTCACAGGTGCATCTCAGCCTGTGCAGGGCCTGGAGGGGTCTTTTCCCTCTCTTCTCCCAAAATACCCCAAGTTTGGGGGTATTTTAATATAAAATTGTATTATTTGATATTATTCCAATTTTATTATTTAATAAACAAATTTCCCCAATTCTCAAAAAAAAAAAAAAAAAAAAAAAAAAAAAAAAAAAAACAAAAACAAACCAACCAAACAAAAAAAATTTCAATAACAAAACCCCAATTAAACCTATTTTCTAAAAAACCCAAACCCTGGCAGGTCCCTGACCACACTGTGGCAGGGCTGGCACCTGGGCAGTGCCACCACGGAGAGGGGGCCCAGGGGGTGCTGCTGGCAGCTCGGGGGGGACACTTGGGGTAATGTGGGAAATGAATTTGTAGATAACTCTTTAAGCTCACGTGGTGTGCCTTTGTGTGTAAACACTGAGATTAGAAATGTTGATTTAGAAACGTTACAGAATGAGATCGATATTAGGAGAAACGGCGTAAATGACAACATCTGTGTTGCCTCACCCTTCACATGGGGCTAAAAATAGAATAAAACTTTTAAAAACCCCATCTCTGGGTCAGAAAAAAAGCTTCATCCAACAGAGCTTCTCTCTGGGTGACAACAAAGCAGGAGCTGCTCCCTCCCAGAGCCGCGGGGGTGTCAGCCTGGAGCACATCCCGACCCTGCTCCCCATCCCATCCCCATCCCCGCCCTCCCTTGCTCCTGCCAAGGTTCCTCATTTCCTCCGGGCTCGTGTGCTTGGCTCGGAGCGGCCACTCCGGCTGTGCGGGCTGTTCCTTGCCGGGGCTGGGCCGGGGTGTCCCGGGAGTCACGGCGCGCTCAGCGTCCCGCGGGGTCCCTGCGCCTTCTCCAGCTGCTCTGCGTCCAACCCCGCTGGCTCTGCCGGCCTTTTCCATCCTGGATTTATCCTGGGTTTATTCTGGGTTTTTCCTGGATTTATCCCGGGTTTTCCCTGGATTTATCCTGTATTTATCGCAGATTTATCTCGGATTTTTTCTGGCTTTTTTCCTGGGTTTTCCCTGGGTTTATCCCGGGTTTTTCCTGGGTTAATCCTGGATTTTTCCCAGGTTTTTTCCTGGATTTATTCTGGGTCTATCCCAGACTTTTCCTGGGTTTACCCTGGGTTTTTCCCTGGGTTTTTCCTGGGTCTATCCCAGATTTATCCCAGATTTATCCCAGATTTATCCCAGATTTATCCCAGATTTATCCCAGATTTATCCCAGATTTATCCCAGATTTATCCCAGATTTATCCCAGATTTATCCCAGATTTATCCCAGATTTATCCCAGATTTATCCCAGATTTATCCCAGATTTATCCCAGATTTATCCCAGATTTATCCCAGATTTATCCCAGATTTATCCCAGATTTATCCCAGATTTTCCCCAGATTTATCCTAGGTTTTTCCCTTGATTTATCCTGGTTTTTTTCCTGGGTTTATCCCTAATTTTCCACACTGGATTTATCCATGATTATTCCCAGATTTATCCATGCTATCCTGGATTTATCCCAGATTTTCCCCTGATTTTCCCTGGCTTTATCCCTGCTTTGTGTCAGGAACCCCCCCAGCCGCTCAGCACCCTTCCACCCCACCGCCACCCCATGTCCCCGTGTCCCCATGTCCCCGCAGGAGGACAACCACAGCTACTACGTGTCGCGGGTCTACGGCCCGGGGGACGCGCGGCGCCGGGGGCTCTGGGTGGACATGGCAGCGGCCAACAGGAGCCACGTGAAGGTGCACAGGATCCTCTCCAACACGCACCGGCAGGCCTCGGTGAGCCCCGCGCCTGTCCCCGTGTCCCCACGCCTGTCCCCGTGTCCCCACGCCCGTCCCCGTGTCCCCACGCCCGTCCCCGTGTCCCCACGCCTGTCCCCATGTCCCCACGCCCGTCCCCATGTCCCCACGCCCGTCCCCGTGTCCCCACGCCCGTCCCCGTGTCCCCACGCCTGTCCCCATGTCCCCACGCCCGTCCCCATGTCCCCACGCCCGTCCCCGTGTCCCCACGCCCGTCCCCGTGTCCCCACGCCTGTCCCCATGTCCCCACGCCCGTCCCCATGTCCCCACGCCCGTCCCCGTGTCCCCACGCCTGTCCCCGTGTCCCCACGCCCGTCCCCGTGTCCCCACGCCCGGCAGGGTGGCCCAGGGGCAGCGGGGGCCCTGTGACAGGCTTGGGAAGTTTCAGGGTGTGGGAAGTGTTTGTGGGCTCCTGGTGGTTCCAGGGAGGAAGGAACGTGCAGGGTCCTTTTCTTCCCATCCCTCTCTCCCACTCCTCTCCCATCCCTCTCTTCTCACCCCTCTCTCCCACCCCTCTCTCCCATTTCTCTCTCCCCATCCCTCTCCCCCTCCCTCTCTCCCACCCCTTTCCCCATTCCCAGTGTTCCCCAGGGCTGAGCGTGCTCTCCCTCCTCTCCACCCCACAGAATATTGTCCTGTCCTTTGACTTCCCCTTCTACGGCCACCTCCTGCGGCAGGTCACCATCGCCACCGGCGGTGAGCGGGGACCAGGACATGGCTGGGATCCGCGGGATCCATGGCATGGGATCCATGGGATGGGATCCATGGCATGGGACAGGATCCGTGGGGTGGGATCCACGGGATGGGACAGGATCCATGGGATGGGATCCATGGGATGGGATCCATGGCATGGGATCCATGGCATGGGATCCATGGGATCCATGGGATGGGATGGCATCCACAAGACGGGATGGGATGGGATCCATGGCATGGGATCCATGGGATCCATGGGATGGGATGGCATCCACAAGATGGGATGGGATGGGATCCATGGGATCCATGAGTTCCATGGGATGGGATGGGATGGGATCCATGGGATGGAATGGAGTCCATGGGATGGACAGGATCCATGGGATGGATGGGATGGGATCCATGGGATGGAATCCATGGATTCCATTGATTGGATGAGGACTGGACAAGAAGGGATGGGATGGGATGGACAGGATGGGGTGCGATGCCCACAGTGGGGCCTGGACACGGCTCCGGCGCTGGCTCTACCCTCACCCCACATCCCTGAGCCCCAGGGAGCTCAGAGAACGGGGTCCAGCCCTTCCAGCCCCTCCCTGCACCCCAAATCTCCTGGGGGAGTCAGCAGCTGCTGCTCCCTCTGCTCCTGCAGAGACCGGGGAAGACACAAAGGGGTCAGAGAGGAAATCCAGAGGGCTAAAAAAAGGCAATGGGTGAGGCAGGGCAGGGCGGTGGGAGGCCAGAAGAGACACAAAGGGATCAGAGAAGAAATCCAGAGGGCTAAAAAAAGTGATGGGTGAGGCAGGGCAGGGCGGTGGGAGGCCAGAAGGAGGAGGATGAGCGTGTTCTGCTTCATCCTCTGCCCGCTCAGGTTTTATCTTCACGGGGGACGTCATCCACCGCATGCTCACGGCCACCCAGTACATCGCCCCCCTCATGGCCAACTTCAACCCCAGCTACTCCCAAAACTCCACCGTGCAGTACCTGGACAACGGTGAGTGCAGCTCCCCCTGCTCCTGCCTCAGCCAGGAGGGCTCAGCTCTGTCACTGCTGGGGCAGGAACGCATCCAAAATTTTGCTCTGCTCCCAGTGGATGCTGGAGGTTGGGGGGTGAGATGGAGGTTTGGGGGAGAGGGAAGGACTGAGCAGCTCTGGTCACCCCCAGGGACGGTGTTTGTGGTGCAGTGGGACAAGGTTTATCTCCAGGGCAAGGAGGACATGGGCAGCTTCACCTTCCAGGCCGCCCTGCACAGCAGCGGGAGGATCGTCTTCGGCTACAAGGAGGTGAGATGATGGGGCAGGAGGGTGCCTGGGGGGGTCCCCGTGGGGCTGGGAGGGGGGTTGGACATTCCTGGGGCTGGGATCTGTCCCATCCTCTGTCCCACCCTCTGTCCCCGGGCAGATCCCGGTGCCGGTCCTGCAGATCAGCGCCAGCCAGCACCCCGTGAAGGCCGGGCTCTCCGACGCCTTCATGGTCCTCAACCCTTCTCCTGACGTGCCTGGTGAGTCCCTGGGGGAGCTGATCCCACAGGGAGAGGGGTGGGATCCTCATCTTGGGAGATTTTGGAATGTGAAGATGCCCTGCTTGGATTCCCAGTGAGTGTGAGGAGGGGTGTGGGGTTTGCCTGCCCCTCACCTTCCCTGTGCACCTCTTTTTGGGATCCCTTTTTGGGATGTCTTTTTGGGATCCCTTTTTGGGATGCATCTCCCCCTGGCCTCATGCTCTGGCTGGAACTTTGCCCAGTCCACAACCTCCATGAGCTTTTCCCTGATTCCCAGCTGGTGAGGAAGAGGAGGGAGATCCAATCCTTGCACTCCAAAGGATGGAATGCGGATGGACAAGAGGCTCAGGGTGTGCAGGCTGCCCCATTCCCATAGAAATGAGAGGTTTTGGGGCTCTGCAGCTGCCCCGGGGCGTGTCAGGGCTCTGCCCCTGTGTCAGCAGATGTGGGGATGCTCTCATCCCTGGGATGTGGGAATGCTTATTCCCCGTGTGCCCTGACCTGCAGGCCTCCCCAAAAAAGCCCCTCCCAGCCTCTCCAGTCAGGCAGAGCCCAGCCCTGCTCCTCCCCGTTATTTCAGAGCCATCTGGCCCCGGTTTATTGCCGGGTTTGTGTCAGAGCCCGGCCGGGCTGGGCGCTCCCTCCCCTCCTTGAGCCACTCCCTCGGTCCCCGCGGAGCTCCCGAGCCCTGCCCGGGCTGTGCGGGCAGAGGAGAGGCAGGAATGGGCCGGGGGGAGAAGCAGGGCTGGGAGGGATGGAGAGCAGCGGGGGATGCTCGTCCTGCTCGGCTCCACGTTCCCGTGCGGGAGCCGGGCTCGGATCTGCCGCGGTGACAAACGCGGTGCCAGAGGAGCATCAGGGCTGTGTCACCATCCCGAGCGAGGGACAGACCCCGCTGGCCCCGGGGAGGGGGGCACGGCCCGAGATGGGGGGGCAGGAGGAGATTTTTGGGGGGGAAGCGGCTGCAGGAGTCCTGGGAGCTGCGGGTGTGCCTTGAGAAGGCTGAGCTGGAACTGAGGCAGAGTTACAGAATAAAGCAGGCAGCACAGAATGTGAAAAATAGAAAAACTAAAACCTGAGGCATCAGGGGGAGGCTCCAGGCCGTGAGTCAGAGCCGGGTGATGTTTGTTTGGAGCTGTTGGGGAGCGGCTCGGGGCTGGAGCCTCTGGCCGGAGAGGGGGCTGGGCTGGGCTGGGCTGGGCTGGGCTGAGCTGAGCTGAGCTGAGCCGAGCCAGCTCCGAGCCCTTCCTGTGCCCTGGCACCCCCCAGCCTGTTGGATGAAGTTTTTTTCTGACCCAGAGATGGGACAACTGAGAGGTGTTTAAAAAAACTTTTATTCTGTTTTCACTCTCGTGTGAAGGGTGAGACAATACAGGTGTTATAATTCAAGCCATCGCAATTAGAAGGCAATTATTTCCTAATTACAAAACACTTTAAGCGTTTTTTGGCTTACCAGTTTACACCATGCTGTAAATGCCTTAAAGCCAGCATTTCTTATCTCAAGGTTTGTACACAGAAACTAATTTTAAAAACCCCACAGTCATTTGTAGGTGAGAGTTCTGCTAGAAAAAGGCTGCTGAAACTACAGCCAAGCATAATTAAAGTTCCACAAGTGCTGCTTCACAGCCCAAAGTGATGTTGCAGTCTAAATTTCTTTTCTGAAGAAGGAGATTGACCCCAAAACTTCCAGTTTGGGGTCATGGATTTGGAGCAGCCTCCCCCAAAATGCTTTGGGGGATCTCAGGGTGGGAGAGGAGATGAGGAGTGGGGGCCACTGGAGAGCGTGGGCTGCTAGCCCGGGTCGGGGGGAGCAGTTCCAGGAGCCCAGGGAGGGGGTACCTGGACTGGGGGACAGTTCCAGGTGTCCCAGGTGCCCAGGAGGGGCAGGATGACAGGAGCAGTTCCAGGTGTCCCAGGTATCCCAAGGAGGTGGTACCTGGATGACAGGAGCAGTTCCAGGTGCCCAGGGAGCCCAGGGAAGGGGTACCTGGATAGGGGAGCAGTTCCAGGTGTCCCAGGAGGGGGTACCTGGATGACAGGAGTAGTTCCAGGTGTCCCAGGAGGGGTTACCTGGATGGGGGAGCAGTTCAAGGTGTCCCAGGGAAGGGGTGCCTGGATGACAGGAGCAGTTCCAGGTGTCCCAGTTGTCCCAGGGAGGGGGGTTACCTGGATGGGGGGAGCAGTTCCAGGTGTCCCAGGTGTCCCAGATGGGTTACCTGGATGACAGGAGCAATTCCAGGTGTCCCAGTTGTCCCAGGGAGGGGTTACCTGGATGGGGGGAGCAGTTCCAGGTGTCCCAGGTGTCCCAGAAGGGGTTACCTGGATGGGGGCAGTAGTTCCAGGTGTCCAAAGTGGGGGTACCTGGATGGAGGCAGCAGTTCCAGAAGCCCAAGGAGGAGGTACCTGGATGGGGGCAGCAGTTCCAGGTGTCCCAGGAGGGGGTACCTGGATGACAGGAGCAGTTCCAGGTGTCCCAGGTGTCCCAGGAGGGGTTACCTGGATGGGGGGAGCAGTTCCAGGTGTCCCAGGAGGGGTTACCTGGATTGGGGGAGCAGTTCCAGGTGTCCCAGGTGTCCCAGGGAGGGGTTACCTGGATGACAGGAGCAGTTCCAGGTGTCCCAGTTGTCCCAGGGAGGGGGTACCTGGATGGGGGGAGCAGTTCCAGGTGCCCAGGAGGGATGGGGTTGCTGCTGCCCTGGAGCAGGACGTGACCCTGTGATTCCATCCCTGGGAATGTCACAAATGCTGCTCCCAGCTGACAGCCCTGCCCTGATCCACTTGAAAAGACAAAGTGGGAAGTTTTGTTCTTTGTTTTTCCCCTTAATGGGCAGATGTTCCCCTGACACAAACCCCAACCCATTGCCCTCCTGGCAGCTTTTGAGAATTTCCTACAAACCCATTTCCCACCCCAGCTCTCCTCCTGCACCCCCAAGGGCACAACCCCACACCTGGGGCCGCCTGTGCCTTTCAGCAGCTCCCCCAGAGCCTGGCCTAACCCTGGCCAGGGGGGTTTAAGCCCGGTTTAAAGCCCAGGCTCTGTTGCAGAGTCGCGGCGCCGGACGATCTACGAGTACCACCGCGTGGAGCTGGACACCAGCAGGATCAGCAGCCTGTCAGCTGTGGAGTTCACCCCGCTGCCCAGTGAGTGCCCCTGCCCCTTGGGCACCCCAAATTCCACCCACAAACCCCAGCAGCTTCTCAATTCCAGCCTGAGGAGGCAGCCAAGGCAGGGTCAGGGGTGCTGGGGGGGCGATGCCGCCCATCTCCTGGGGTTTGGGGTCTGTGGAGTGGTGGAGGGAGGGGGTGCTGTTAGCAGGGAGCAGCTCCTGGGGTCCCTGGAGAGGAGCTCATCCTGTCCTGGGGTCCCTGGAGAGCAGCTCAGCCTATCCTGGGGTCCCTGGAGAGCAGCTCAGCCCGTCCTGGGGTCCCTGGAGAGCAGCTCAGCCCATCCTGGGGTCCCCAGGGAGCAGCTGTTTCTCTGGCAGACAAACCTCCATAACACATTCTGCACGTTCACAACACAGCAAGCCGAGATAAGAATTGTTTCTCTTTTTTTTTTTTTCCCCTGATTTTCTCACAGCTTTTCCAAGAATGATGCTTGGGGAAGTTGTGTTTGCCTCTGTGGCCAGAGAGCTGCTGCCACACTGCCCACAGCTGCTCCCCTGTGCCCTGCAGGTGTTGGCATCTGGTGCCAGCCCAGCAGGCCAGGACTGGGTCATGAATCACACAGACTCCATGCATTCACAGAAAGCTGATTGTTAATATTTATTAATAAACTTTTATACTCTAGTACGCTACAGGGAGACCTAATTGGTCTTCTAATTAAACCAGCATCACCATTGGCTAATTAGGATTTGTTTCTTTGGCAGACAAACCTCCATAACACATTCTGCACGCTCACAACACAGCAAGTTGAGATAAGAATTGTTTTGGAGATAAGAATTGTTTCTTTTTTTTTTTTTTTTTTTTTTTTTTTTCCCTGTTTTTTTCACAGCTTTTCCAAGAATGATGCTGGGGAA